CAGACGATATGGGTTGGGCACTGTGCCTGAGACAACAGAAGGAGAGAGTACCCCTAGCATTTTGTTTCCAGTTCTGGAAGGGATTAGAAGGCCAATATCCCGCCATACATCAACAGCTCCTGGCAGTGTATACAATGCTCCTTCAGGTAGAGCCTCTCCCAAAGGAACAGCAAATTATGGTAAGAACTTCCCTTCCTTTCAAGGGTGAGTTGAGAATATGTTCCATCAACCCTCCTCTTCCATGGCTCAAAATCCCACACTGGCTAAGTAGCATGCTTGTCTGCAGCGGAGGAGCACTTTGTCCACCAGCACACTTTCTCTAGATACTAGACCCTGTAGAGTATGTAGATACTCCAGATACTCTGCCCCTATACCTGTGGCAGCCCCCGCAGCCTGTAGAGAGAAAGTAGGTTAATTCTCACTAATAGTAGCTCTATTTCCAATCTATCAAAATAAGTGAATCTTTTATAAACTATAAAAATGGACTGGAAGTAGATACTTTTTCATTAGCACAATAGTTGCACTGTTTCAAACTAAGATGGGTCTATTCAGGGCAACCCACCCACATGAATTGCAGTGTCTAATCAGCCTACCACTGACAACATCTGGATATAAACAGGAATGAACTGCAGCAGCCGGTGGGTTGAACTCATTGGTTTGGTGATCACTCATGAGCTCTGGATTTGAATCCTTTGTACTGACAGTTGGGTTGTTCTAAAGGGATTAACCCTCTGGCTTAATCCCTTTAGAACAATGGGGAGCCGAGGGATCATGAATAAGCCTTTGTTACATTAGGATATGTGGAAAGACATTCAGGTTTGCCTGCAAGAGCCTGAGGCTGTCCTCACTGCCTTCCAAGTCCAGGCTCACAAGAAACTGACACCCTCTGGCAATCAGGAAGCTGAATTCTTAGCTCAGGTATGAACCTTAGCAACTGATCCTTCAGTAGACATAGCAGGTTTTGTGCACAGAAAGAGTAGCCACTGTAGTGGCAGGGTGGGATGGCATGTGGCCAAGGATGCTGGATTGCTTCTGAAATACAGCAACAAGGTTAATGTATTAATATGTCTTGTTCTAAACTACACCCAAGGCAACTGCCACAGGTGTCTGGGCCATCCACCACAGTTCCCAACAAGTACTAGGTTGGCAAATGATTATATTGGCCCCCTCCCTCTGTGTGAGGATTCTAAATATGCCCTGGTGTGTGAGGAGACTGTTTCTGTCCCAGTATAAGTATTCCCTATCATTATACAAACCAGGCTGCCACCATTAGGTGGTGAAAGAAGCTGAGTGCCATGTATGGATACCTTCCTTGAATACACAGTGCTTGAGGGTCACATTTCAATGGTCATGATGTGCCAGACTGGGCAAAAGAACATGACATTGAATGGAGATCCCATCTCAGCTATAACCTGCAAGCAGGAGGTTTGATAGAAAGCAGCAGATTAGATTACTAACCAATAAAACATCTTGAACAGCTGGACTAAAGTACTATCTCAGGTTTTAGTACATATGAATGATCAGCCAATAGGGCCTGTGGTCCCATATGCCAGACTGGGACCTTGCCAACATGCCCAACACTGGAAAGGTATGGAAATCAAAGAGAGCCATCGCCCCTCTTATTCATGGATCAAGGGGCATTGCTGCTGAGAACACCAAGTCCCATTACACTTGGGAAAGACATTCTTGACTGGAATTGGCAATGGACATCCCACAGAGATGAGTGAGTTACTTTGTACCCCTGGGTGAGAGGGAACTGCTCAATTTCAACTGGGATCCCATTGTTCTGCTGCAAACCAGACACATTAAAATGCACTTTACCTGAAATGGAACATGTGCTATGGAGAGAGGGGAGAAGTTGGGAGTCCCAGTCTGGCACACCCTGCCCCCAGTCCACCTCCTCGACCTGACAGTGCTGCCCTCCCCCACTGCCAGCCCCACCAGGCCAACATGGGTGGTATACACAACCAGGCCAAGTTCCTAAAGCTGCCAGCCCTCCTCTCCTCCAGACCAGGTGGGCATGCTCTGTTTTCCACCCATTCAATCATTTGGCCATCAACTTTGCCCCCTCCACTGCCTGATGGATGTTATAACACATATAGAAGTGCTCACTAAATTCACCCAACAAGCCTTGAACAGTAGCTGGCAAAGCCTGTCTTCACTGAACACTGATTTAAATATCTCTAATGAGAAAAGCTATCCTCCAAAAGAGGATGTCCATGGGAATGATTACCGCGTCGCAAGGAGACACCTGTCCCATTATCTAAAGAGAATGTTTTATGTTCATAAATAATGAGTCTGCTAATGTGTCATCTTTATTAAGTTACGTGTGTACACAAGTAAATGCCCTGAGTGATCAATCCAGGACACTTAGTAAATCAATGGTTCCTATCATGGGGCTCTTGGTAGAAAAAATTGTTACTTATTTTGGGAATCGTTATCTTAATCTGTATTTCTCTTGCATGTGTCTAAATTGTTGCTGAGGCCTCTGCCTCCAGTGCAGCCAGATAGATGCCAAATGAGCCACCTCAATGCCAATAAAACGCCTTGCTGACCACAACTCAGGGCCCATTGAGGAATGGAAGATAGTAGGAGCCAGTGGAGGGCTGGAATGTTGGAGTAGAATTCATTAAGAGGGTGTGACCACCGGTTGTCCCATGACATAGACATCCCTCCCCTTGACCTTGGAATGTATGGCCCACCTACCATTCCCACAGTAGAAAATGTTTTTAAGGACATAGCCTTGTTGGACCACCTGGACTGAATACCTTACTGAACCAGTTAAGGCCTCTCTATAAGCTTTTCAGATTCTGGCAAGTGGGTGCAGAGACCTACTCATCAAGTGTCAGTATGTAGTTCCCTTGCTTATAAAACCTGCCACCTACCAGTCTGGAGTGGTCTGTGTCTTTCTTTGGTGTCTTCCTTTTCTCTGTGTAAGGGGACCAGTGAGCCAATCAATAGGTAACCAGAGAGCACTTTGCAGATTTGGATTTTACACAACTGTTTCTCCATGTTTCGTGTCAAAATTTATTTTGAAACTATTTTACTCTGAAAGTGATGTTTATAAATTGATATTATCTAAATAAGTGTAAGAGATTTTCATTATTTCTCAGTACTTATCAATGTAAATGCATGGCTGAGACAAAACATGGGTTTTGTATTCTAAAGTTATCTGATTATTTAAAACTTCAGATTCATAGCTGAGTTTTGATAAAATATCTAAATTAAAATCAACACCAATTAGAAAAAGAAGTGTGTGACATTTTTTTCTAGTGTTTGTTACTATATATACATCCCAATTGTTTTTCCCCATTTCCTTCTAGTTTTACTTTATTCTTTTTTGTTAATTTTTTTCATAGCTTTTCTTTCTTGTCATTATCCTTTTAAAATGTATTCTTATTTTTTATATATTCTTAATTTTATATAAACTAATCATCATTCTTGTATGTTTATTTCTGTTTTTCCTGAACTCACTACTCTTATGAACAAACTCCTTTAAATATATAGATAATAGTCACCAGGTTTGGAAAACCTTTCCTGTTATTTTAACTACCCTGTTTTTCTTTATTAGCTCCATTTCATTCTTTCAAAAATAAGTGAATCCTTTAAAATCTATAAATATAAATTGAAGGGAGATAATTTTTATAAGCACAATAGTTGCACTTTTTCAAACTAATATATTTCATTTGCCTTAAAAAAGCTCATAGAGTAAAATTTCCTCACTGAAATTATTCATTTGTTTTACCTAAAATGAAACTTAAAAAATGTTTTTTTGCTTTCTTCTGTAGATACTTATTTCAAACACAAACCAAACAAAAGTAAAATGATATATAAATATGAAAACATTTATTTTACATTTTCTTGATTATTAAGATTGTGATAATAATATTCATTTAAAACATTTTTCTTATTACTAAAAACAACAATAAAAAAGGAGCTTCAGCAATGTACGCAGAAATACTTTTCAAATTGACATTAGAACATACTGTGTTTTACCATACTATAAAATAGATGTTGTGCCGGGCCGGGTGTGGCTCAGCAGTTGAGCATCCACCTAGGATCCAGGAGATCGCTGTTCAGTTCTGCTCAGGGCTTGTGCCCAGGTTGCGGGCTTGATCCCGGTAGGGGGCGTGCAGGAGGCAGCTGACCAATGACTCTCATCATTGATGTTTCTCTCTCTCTCCCCCTCTCCTTTCCTCTCTCTGAAATCAATAAAGATATATTTTTAAAAAACACACAAAAAACATATGTTGTGGCTGCAGTTGTTGAATGGGTAACAGTTTCAACTGTAAGCATAACCAGGTACCTTAATATACCAGAAATCTAGATAAGAGACAGGATTCACTAGTTTTTAAGACCACAATTTTGGTCTTAACATAATGGGTCCAAGTCCTGACTTTGCCATTGTGGTTTAACTCAAGTTATTTTCGTTCTTTGGACCTCAATTTAATTGGCATAAAAATGGAGATTTACAACCAAAGACTATCCTAAAGATCAAACAATCTCCTCTATACGGAGTATTTAACATAGTGCCTGGCACATAGTTAGCACTCAGTGAATCGCTGCTAATATTATTAATAGGCCATTCAAATATACTTCATCAAAATGATTGAAACTGTACAAATCACAAACAAAATTAATTCCACATAATACCAAAATTGGTAGCATTACTAGTATTTACACTGGGGAAGTGAAAACAGCTAGACTTTTATGCTCAGAGAAGGTAATACACTAAATTATTATTACTGTCTCTGGATGAAATAAAATAGGAAATGGTAGGGGTTGTGGTTGACATGTGCTTTTACTTTAAAAGCTGAAACAAGGTTTTAAAATGTGCAATAGTGTGGTCACTAGCAATAGCTTTCTTTTCAGTGTACTTGGAAGAATCACTTAGTCAACAAATATTATTTGATTGCCAATTATGTGCCTGGCTGTGTTTACCTACCATGCAAAAGGAATATACCGCCTTTTTATGCTCTGAATACTTTCCTTTTCCACAGACATTTCCACTGGGCCTGGGAGATGGGCAATTCTATGCATGGACAGATGGTTTGAGAAGAAAAGACTGGCATGACTATGAAAGCATTCAGAAAGAGGCTATGCGCTCAGGTATGGAGTTCAGTGTAAGCCAAAGTGCTGCTTCACTTACTGAAGTGTCTCATTTGTCACTTAAATATCTCTAATTAGTATTTCTTCTGCACACAGTAAGGTATGTCTCATGGGGATATTGGAGGTCAACACGGGACAGAACTAAAACAATGTCAAATTTCAGAGAGAAAACAAATAATACATAACCCTTACAATATTAACTGAGGAAGTCATTAAAATTTTAGAAATCTATAGTACTTTGTATTTCCAAACTGCTTTTTAATAATTTCTGGGAGTATCTTTGGATTTATCAGTGGGACTTGACTTGATAGGCAATGTCTTGAACTACATTGACTCATTAGTGCTGAGGCATGTTTAACTGGCAATACAGCATATTAAAAGGGTACCACATTCTAGACAGTGGCAGGGATACAGAAGTTTGGTGGATCACAGGAGCCAGGGACCTGAGGTTGGCAATACTTGGACAAACAGACAGGTATTTAAACGTAGGCAGTGGGTCTGTACATGTATAGCAGAATTCTAATGGTGGGTTAGACATAGAGGAAACATGTTACTTGTTGGAAAAATTAACAGAAAAAAGCAAGGTTTCTAGAAGGACTAAAAAGTTAGGTTGCTGGAAAAAGGGATTCAGAAGTCTATATAAATAGAAATTGATGAATAACATATGATGGGAATTCATGTTCTATTATTTGACCAAAGGGCCTCTAGTTTTTGTGGGGGTTTCTTCATAGTGAGGATGTCACAGAAATAGGGAAGCTATTGTTGGTAAAGACATTTGAGGAGCCCCAAGACACTGCATTCTGGGTAATTCAGCATCAGATCCATGACCAGCCACAATATGAGGTCCTACTGGTCAACCTTCCTCATAACTAATACTGTCAGGAAAACTGGAATGACGGCATTTAAATAGTTATAAAATTGTTCCGGGTTGTGAAACGTTTTGAGCTCTGGGTGAGGTGTGAATGATCTAATCATTGTCTTCAATTTCTTCTTTCATTTCTTTTCCCCAAATCATGCTCCCCCTCCCCCAAACTTCATTAAAGCTGCTCTTTCCAAGGATGTTCTCTATTCCTCAGAGAATCTTTCTCTTCCAGGTTTCATTGTCTTCCCACCTTGGCCATGACCCCATGAACAATCATAAATGTGCATTAATTACCATTATCCTCACTTTTGGAGCCCTCTTATTATTATTATTTTTTTTTTTTGTATATTTGCTTAATCAGCCCTATAGTAATCCAACAATCTGTTCCCCTTGCTAACCACAGGATGCTGAAATTATGGGGAAATGTTTATATAATCAAACTAACTGATGTTCCCAAAAGTGAATAATAATAATAGAATAAGCTAAAATTAATTGAATAGGTGTTTTGTACTAGTGCTTCACATACAGATTTCATTTAAACCTTATAATAAGTGTAATAGATAGGTTTAATTATCTCCAATTAGTTTTTTTAAAAACCTAAATTCTTAAGAATTTATTTATTAAATTTTATCTAAAGTTAAACAGCTAATAATTTGCAGAGCTAGATTAAAGGCCTGGTCTTATATTGTTCCATTACTGCCTGCTGTCAGACCTTGGATAATATCTAGGCAACAAGAATTAATGACAAGGTCACATATGAGAGACACGCCTGGGATCAGATCTTAGCTTTTCCATACATGAGCTGGATTAAGTGGCAAATCAATTTATCTTTCTTTTATTCTACTTTAGAGAATTTCTGTGAGAATTAAAGATAATCTACCTTAAGTAATTGGCCAGTTATTTGTATATGTTATAAACTCAACTAATGATCACCGTCATTTTAATTCACCAAAGTTACTTTCGCTTGACTCGGTGTGCTTACTTACCCTTTGCTTGTGCTGATGAGTTTTGGATACAAAATCTAGAACACTACATTTATTTCCACTTCATGCTGCTTCCCTTTCTGCCCCCTGGATGAACAAGTCTTTTATATTCTCTTTCTCACTTGAGCCAAGGGAAATTGACCTCAAAGGAAATTGGTAATATAATAGGTTTTCTAAAGTGCAAATTTTCTGTGGAATCAAAAAGCTTTTAAATACTATTATGCTATATGATTCACTGGAAGATATAATTCATCATTTTTAAAATATTATGAAATATACCATAAATAAAAGGAGTAAACACACATGCAGGTGCAGGGTCAAAATAATCCTCCTTGTTCTCAATATCCAGGTCCAGAAAAGGATCATCTTTGCAGTTCTGTTCCTTCAAGGCTTGAAATTCATGTTTACTGTTATTTTTCTCTGTAGTACTTTTCCCCCGCCTATATATTTAGATATTTAGCCCTAAACAAACATGGTTGCATTTTGCCTGCGGTTGAACTTTATCTGAAAATTGATTTGTACTGTTTGATTTTCTTCTTTCACTCAAAATTATTTTTGAGATTCATCCATGTCAAGGGGTAGAATTCTAGTTGATTCATTTTTACTGTTGTTTTATTTTCTACAACATTCTCTCTTCATGGACATTTGGGGGTTCCCAAGTTTTGTTTATTATATACAGTGTTGTTATAAGTATTCATGTGCATGGTTCTAGGGTAGAGGGGAGATTTTCTTAGGGTACATACTGAATAGTAGACTTTGTATGTCTAAGGCATGCACATTTCAGGTATGTCATATAGTCCATGACAAACTGTTTTCCAGAGTTGACATACTGATTTCACTCTAATCAATAATAGATGGAATTCCCACTGCTCTATATCTTTGTGAACTCTTGGTAGTTCTGACTTGTTTCCCCTAATTTGGTGGTATGATATAATCTCTCATTGTCAATTAAATTTGCATTCTGCTAACTTCTAATGTAGTTGATATCTTTTTTATGCTTATGGGCTGTTCGTGCCTTCTTTTTGGTAAAATTCCTATTTCTACTTTTACCTTTTGAATTTCTTTCTCTTTCTTATTGAGCCACAAACTGTTCTTAATTTGTTGTAAATAATATCCTTTATTGGTTGTATATGATGAAACTATCATATAACACATTTTGTAGATTGTTTTTTAAAAATCTCCAGAAGTTCTGAATTTTGATGCAGTCAAATTTGGAAATCATTTTTTCTAAGGATAGATCATACCGATGTTCTATATGATCTATTAAAAGTTAGAGTATTTTACCTTTTACATTTAGGTTTTAAATCCAACTTGTCTTCATTTTTACCTGTTGTAAGGTAGTGTTTCAATATTTATTTACTTTTCACCCATTTAGATAACCAAAACCAGCTCCATTTATTGGAAAATTTATGATTTTCTTCATTACTCGGCTGTGTTGACTATTATATATTAAGTTTTCATATTTGTGCTTTCTCTTCTATTTCTCAATTTTGTTCTGTGAGTAAAAATCTCTGAGCTAATACCGTATCTAAGTACTGTATCTTTATAACTATTACTGATATCTGGTAGAGTTCACTCTTCTTTCTTTGTTTTTCCTTGAGAATGTACTGCCATTCTTAACATTATGCCTTTCTTTAAAATTTTTTATTCAGCTTGTCAGACTTTAGACACACATCCACAGATACACCAAATTACTTGAATTTTAGAATTGAATTGTCTTCATAAATTAGGGAATAAGCGATAGTTTTAAATATTAAATCATCCACTCTATGGTATACATTGTATTTATTTGTTCTTTATTCATTATCATTAGGGATGTGCTTGTAATTTTATTTTCAGACATTTTCAGTGCTATTTTTAGAAAACTAATGTGGAAACTGTGCATGTTATTGATTTTATTGAAATTCTACATTATTTAGAAATGTTAATGTTTAATATTGATTTGAATTCAAAAAACTTTTTAAGTTCTTCTATGAATAATAATCACTTACCTATAGGTTACTTTGGATTTTCAACGTAGATATCACAATGTCAATTTTCAATGCAGAAAATCACAATGTCAGTATCAATGTAGATATCAACATTGTGATATCTACAAGTAACGACAGTGGTTTTATTATGTTTACTTTTTATTTTCAGTCTAGACATCATAATTTTAGTTCTTTTTGTTCTGATACTGCCCTTGCTAGAAACTCCAGTGGAATCTTGAGCAGTGGGTATTGGTGGCTACTCATGACTTGTTAGTATTCTAACAAGCAAATTGGACACTCTTGCTAAGGTCCTATCTATCTATCATCTATCTATCTATCTATCTATCTATCTACCTACCTACCTACCTACCTACCTACCTACCTACCTATCATTTATCTATCTATCTATCATCTGTCTATCATCATGTATCTGTTTAATGAAAACACATTCTACCATGTTTGCTAAGCCTTCTGGTCTGGTTTGCTGAGAGTTTATGAGTTTTATTTTACTTTATAACCTAAGTGAATATTTATAATATGTTTTTTATTTGTTTGCATTTGTTGAAATAGATATGACAAATATTATTTAATCTGTTATTTGAGTAAATTATATTTATGGATTTTCTACTGGAAATCAAACTTGCAATTCTAGACCAAATCTATCATTTTATTTATTACTGGATTTGGCTTGCTAATATTTTGTTTGGCATTTTTGAATCTTTATTCATGAGTGAATATTGGACATAAATTATTTTTTCTCATGGAGTCCTTGTCAAGTCTTAGTGACACTGTAATGATAGTTTCATAAAATGAACTGAGTAGTATTTCCTATTTTCTACACTTGTAATTACTTGTGTATTAGAATTGTTTATTTATTAATAATTATGGAAATCTTGTGGGTGAACTGTATTGACCTAGACTTTTCTTGGGCAAAGATTTTTAATTACTGGTTTTAAATGCTCATATTTAATAATACATTTATATATAACATCCTCTTAAAGATTTCATAGTGTCTACAATGCTTGAGTTTGTGTTGTTTTTTTCCTTTCAAATATTATTTGCATCAATTTTCTTTTTTTTAAGTATTATACTACAAATTTGTCAATTTTATTGGTCATTTAAAAAACCAATTTTTGATCTTGTTCATTTTATCTATTATAGTTTTCTCTTGACATAGTCTTATAT